TCCTCAGCATGTTGGAACTGCCAGACAGGACAAAGAGCAGCAGCTTGAAGTCAGGAACTGTCCTGAGCCAGATGGACAGCATTCTTAGCAATGACATTCAAAGGAGTGGGCATAATTTTGCTGAGACAACTCAAGATTCACCTGAGACCAGTATTTAAGGTCTTGGATTTTGCTGAGTATTGGCTTAAATTACTCTTTTCCCCCCTTGATTTCACTCTTACAAGAGGGACTCTCACCTTCTGTGTTACTAAACTAAGCAAGCATCACTAAGTCACAATCTTCCAGTCTCTTCTCGCATGATGGGCTTTTTATTTACCAGAATATCTATCTTCCACAGCTTCAGTTTATCGTTGTCACTGACATGAAACAGAGGGAGACTAAAAAGCAACATATTTGAAAATCACGGTAGGATGGGGCAAGTCATCTCCTATCCTGTTATACTCTGGGGGAACCAGAGTAGCCTTGGAGAAACGACCCTATTCCAGTGGCTCACAGTTTATCTCAGGAACCTTCCAAGTACTAATCCTAGCCCAAGGATTTGACTGGAACAAGGCATGATTGAGGAATGATGATGTCCAGCATTCAAGAGGACATGTGGAAACTTAATAAATGCTCCAGGTGCGCAATCAAAGTGGTATTGTCACAATTTGTGTTCTGTGATATGTCAGGAAAACTTCCATATGAGTTTCCTGTTTCCTTGAATTATCTCTTTTTCTTTATTTGTGCATGAATGTCACAACAGCTCTAAGAAGTTCTGTTGCCTTCTTGTGATATGGCTTTAGAATTTCAGTCCACTGGAGCAGGTTATGTCTAAATGCAATAGGAGGACGGCAGGGCAAATGGATGGCTAGACTCTCTGATGGCTCCCTACCCACATAAAAATGTACTGATGACATCACCTGTTCTAGACAGTACTGTCACAATTTGGCTACAGCCATGACGTTGTGAACTCTCCAAAAGTATGGTGCGGGATCACTCAACAATGACAAGTTCTATTTTCTTGTATCACTCATGCCTAGTGTTTGGCAGTGTATTTCTAACACCGGGAAAGAGTTGGAGTTTGGTGAAAAAATGGTGAAGATGAACAAAACAACTAAGGGATGAAGATATTGTATATTGGAGAATAGGGGAAATCAGGAACTTGTGGAGCAGGGGAGGGAAGAACGTCTGAAACTGCCGTGATACCTTATAACAGTGCTAGTATTGTTTCAATGCACTTGACCAACACTGAAGGATTTTGAGTTCAACTATGCAAATGCATGCACGTATTGGTGTGCTTAGCTCCACACAGGGAAGCTGTGATGCCTGGGTGACCCTAGAAACAGCACTACTTGCCCGCAGAGAGGCAGGACCCAGATAGTTCTGTTCTAGATGGCTTGAAAATAGGAATATACCAGAATTAATGATGAATTTCAGTCCTTGCACCAGTAGGTCCACTAGCACAAGGAAGAGAAGTGGAGCAGGAAAGATAAGTAAAACGTGTTCATGAGGGAGGGGAAAGGAGAACAGAAGTGAATTTAGAGCACTAGAGGAAAAAAGGAGTTTGGCAAGCCTAAAACTCAGAAGGATCTCACCTCATTGAGTGAGATTCCAGAGCTTGGTTATTCCCATCCCTGCCCCCTTAAGTCAATTAATTTCATAGATGAAGCTTAAAAACTGTCAGTGCTAATTTTTCCTGTTTAACTTGTGCACAGTGGAAATTTGCCTTTGAAGAAACTGCAAGAAACAAATCCCTATTACAAATGTCATCTTCCATGTATTGAAAAAAAGCTGGAACGCTCTGGTCAAGGATAACAAGTAATGCACTTCAATAATGAAAGGTGCCAAAAATATTTTCATCTGTCTCCTTCACATGGTACTGACGAATGTCATGAAATAATGAAAAACTTCTGGATATGTGAATGGCATAAAAATTTAATGTCAAATGACATCAGGACTATGCTAGGCATTTTAAGGTTTCTAAATGCCATGAGATATTTTATCCTTTATTTAACATGAGGTAGGATATTAGTCATTTCAAAAGCATATTCTCCATTAGGCAGGAAAATCACATTAACTCTTTGGTTCCCAGTATTTCACCCTTTTCCTGCTATAAATATAAAAAAAAGTTTTTCTCCTGCTCACAACTTGAAACAAGCTTTCATGTTCCTGCAAAAGGATCAAAGAGTAAGACATAAACATTAATGAGATGATTGATTTCCTTGAAAGCTATTCAATTATATTCACTACTACAAAGGAAGAACTGCTTCACAAACTTTAATTACATTAATTTTGCAACAAATCCTCTAACACAAGTGGCAATCTTACCCTCCCTTTATTTAAGAGTATATCTGATTTCTGTGTTTGTATATGATTGTACAAAGTGCGTAACTCGGAGAAAATTAAAGCTGTTGTTTCTGCTTTGGAAATTAAATCAGTTTCTCTGTTTAAAGAAGATGATGTGTACTCTGCAGAAGTGGGATTCACACATATTGTAAGACATTCACATCTTCCAGAGCCACTCTACAATCATTTGATTGTAAATGGAGAGAAATATGTGGTTTATCAATGCTATTCAACTCACCCTGAATTCGAATCCTAAAAGTCAGCTGAACTGAAGCTCTAAGGAAACTATTTCTAAGCAATTGCTGTAAAACAAGCTCAGAGATAGGTTCACATATAGAAAGCTCTAAAATCAGTTGATACGAATGCCATCCCATGTTAGAAATCGGTTTCTTAAATACAGGTATCTTAGCACCAGTTGAGGCTGGATTTCTTAGATGCCCCAGATTATCTCAGATGACACCAGATTATGTTTAGAGAACTGAATGAAGTGTTTACAGTGTAGGTGCCTATATGTGAGTTTAATGCCCGTGTTTCTACTACACTCAACAGAAAATTTATCAACACAGCAAATGACATCTAAAAAGCTATTCAGGTTCCTACATACAGTTAGTTGTCTGTTGACTGCACAGACTAAATTACTGTTGACATTACTGGGATCCTAGACATAGATCTCATACACACACCTGCATTAGAAACAGCAAAAATTAAGAGTGCTGAACCTGCTTTTTCCAACAAAGCAAGTCACTCTGTGCTCTACCATACCAAGTGAGGGGAAACAGGTATTTTCATGGTGCTGTTCATCCAATCTGTTTAAGTGGCTGATTTAAGACAAGATGAATCATATCCTAGCCATCACTGATCAAACCAGCGGAATCCCTGGATGTCAGATGCAGAAAACTCATCAAAGCAATGTGAAATCCCCCTAGAAGGCTGCTGACATTGACAGCTGCAAGGCTAGATGACGTTTGCTAAGTTCACTGCTCACAGAACAGCACAAATACCAGCAGCCACACTGCAACACGGGTATGTAGGGAAGTGTCATAAGTTGGCTTGTGACTGAGACTCTTTCTTGGCCTGGCACATAGAGATAAGTGCACAGAGAGCCCAAGTGATGCCCTGACTGCTCCCAGTGGAGTCTGGACTTCTCCCAGAATAGGAAGTGTTCATGTGCCTAAGCAGAGGTCTTTCGAGACATCCAATGACACTTGAACTATGGAAAAATTGCACCTTTCTGCAGGTGAACCAGAAGACCAGCTGAGATGTCCTAGAACATCCCAGAGAGCAGCAGATGTCCCTGAATGTGCAAGTTTATTAAGACTCATAAGCCTATCCTACCACACAAGTAAAGGCATCCACATTCATTAGCTTAAGTTCAACCAACCACTATGAGATATATATATATATATGATATTATATATATTATACATATTATATATGACCATATATATATATAATTTGTATGTATATATCATATATACACACACACAAACATTGATGTGCATATATGTAATACTTTCCTCATTGCTCTGCTCTGGTGGGATGAAGTATTAGAGAAGCTTCTTAAAGAATACTTTTCTTCCTGTTTAACTAACTTTGCTGGGTCTTTAAAACCCACTGAGGGAATGTTGTGCTCAGGAGAGGAGAGGGCACTAAGCATCAACAGCTGGCAATTATTCCACATGGCTGGACCAATGCTCAGGGGTCTTGTCCTGCAAGATGTGCTATTACAGCAGCTTCTGCCTGCTTCCCCTGAGTACTGAAGCAGCAGTAATGAACAACTGGAAAGTTCTGGAAACCGGGAGATGACAGCATTAGGATAGGACTCCGTGGATTTTGAATTTCCCTTCTGGGCCTGCAAAGACTTTTGATGTGGCCTTGGGCACGTCACGTAATCAGCATATGCTGGTTAATCAGTGTAGTGTCCTAGCCTGTTAAACTGGGACAATATTCTGTTCTTACTCCCACTCATAATCTATCGTATGTGTTTGGACTGTAAGGCTGTAAAAGTGGAGACTTAGCAGCCTGATGCATAATCTCCAGTGCAAAAGAACTAAATTTTCTATGGAGGCCTGCAGGGCTACTATAATGAAAATGATAAATAATGACTATAAACTACCAGGAGACAGAGTTCCATTGCTGCATGGCCCTCGAGACCTAAGTTTTAAATTAAAGCTTCCCAAAACACCCCAAAGAGTGAGTTAAGCTACTTTCTCCATTAACCTTCCCTGCCCATTATTTGTCACGTTAATTTATTGGCCTGTGGCCAAATCTGTCATTTCAGCAGAAAAATACCTTATTACATACAGTTTCAGCTGATTTGTTTTATGTCAGAGACTTAATTAAGTCTAGTGCTAAACTGTAAATTTTGTACAACAAACATTATTACACAGGTTGATTCAATTTCCACTGCACAACATCCACATTATTGGATTTCACGAGGAGCCATTTTTGCATCCTTACCATCCGGAGCAGTACGTGTACTGCAAGAAGGATAAGAAGGATGCTCTAATGGTTTGGGCATTCTTGTATGGCTTGGAAACCTCCTTTACCTTGTGCAAAGAGCTCATTTCTCTCTCTGATTATACCGAGAAGCTTCCCATGATATGATGTGAGACCCCACAGGCAGTGAAACCATAAATCCATTTCAGTGAGATGAGCTGTCTGGTTTTCCTTACCAAGAGAAGTGGTGAGGAATCTGAAGTACTTTGGGCATGGCCGTACCACAACTTCTCCAACCTCCGCTGCAGGCCAGCATGTGATGTTGTCCCATTGCCTTCTGCAACCTGGGGAAAGGAGAAAAGCAGGTGGTAGAACAAGCACAAGTGGTATCTGCTGGATGGAGAGGAGGAACTGAAGCAGTGCAGAGCAGCTGTGAAAGGCATGTGAAGCCTATCACCTTGGTGCAGGCACCTTTTAGAAGGAAAGGCACAGAAACATTTTCTTTAAACATGTAGTTTTCAGCTACATGTTTAAATGTCCCTAAAATTCAGCACTTGTGTTGTCTGTAATTTTTCAGAAATCAGTATGGAAAGAACAGCAAGACTGGGCAAATCAGAGTTAACAGAGGACAGTGCCTTTTTTTAGATGAAAAAGGCAGAAATGCCTAATCAAATATCTTTCTTCCTTCCCTTAACTCTCTCTGTTGCATTAAAACACCTGGTCTGAATATGTGAGACATACCCCCCTTCCTTCTCTGCTTCGCCCAAACTTCTCTCACCACCTTTTTCTTCCCCTTGAAATGATTGGGCAGGGGATGTGCTCAACAGGGAGGGGACACTGATGACCATGAAGGGATCAAGAGCCAAATCCCTTCCCCAGAAGCAGTTTTTCTCCTTAAGAAGGGAGAAGGCACAAAACACTCCTGGATGCTGAGGAGGGACAGTGCTGTTGCTGGGAGATGCTCTGTATGGAAGGGTGGTGCAAGGTGGGACACTCCCAGCTATCCAAGCTAGATATGAAGGTATAACTAAGGGGGTAACTTCAGGGAGAAAACACAGGATATTGTTAAAACTAAGCATTTCTGAAGATTTTCTGGATAGAATAAAAACTTCCTGGGAGAAAAAAATTGCATGTTCTTCCTGCACAGTTATAATATGATGATTTTACCCTTTTATTTCTGCTTTCTCAAAAGACGTTAATGATATCACATACATGCCACACTGTTGAACTATGTAACATTAGGACTGAAGCCAAAAGGAGTTGGCAGAACTAAAAAAAAAACCAAACCAACCAACCCCTCAGACTTGTTTTTCCCTCGACATGTTACATATTTTGGAGTTCTTCCTAGAATTTTGGAAACACTTTTTTTTTTTTTTTTTTTTTTTTCAAGAGACAGGCTGTTGTGTTAGATAGATGGGTTGTGAACAGACCTCACTTTTTTATAGCACCTCTGGTCTTGGTTATTTGTTATGCCCCATTAGATTGCAACACTTCCCCAAGTGTGACTAAGGCATTACTGTTAAGGTCAACAGCCTACCAAGAGAAACTAGAATACGAAGAAGAAAGCTTTGAGAAAATACTTTTCACATGCAAGCAAAAGGAACTATGAAAACCACTGTCAAGCTGCATTTCTTGGTAATTATATCCTGATCTGAAATTCATTCTTAAATCACCTTTTACTACTTGAACTAAGAAAAAGGCTGGTGTCATCATTAGTCTGTTCAGACTGAGGCAGCATGCTCTCTCAGATCAATAAAGAGAGCACACAAAAATGCTTTGAAGCTGAAAAAGAACCCTCAGCAATCTTTCAAAGTTATTTTACAGGTATTTCCTTCCTTCTTTCATGAGCAAACAGAACTTTTTAAATGAAGTCCTGAGGTGATTTTATTCGAGACTGAAAAACAGAGTAACTGACAGTATCTTCTTTGTGCATGCTCTTCTATATTGTTCATTAAAATTCAGTTTTCAGGTTTCTCACATCAGGTGCAAAGCTCAGTTTCCACAGCGTCATACTTATCTGCCACCAAACATCCAGCAGCTCCAAAAGCATTAAGATATTAGATATCCTGCCCATGGAAAATAAATTATTTCATGACGGGATCTTTCATGTTCTATAATCTTTTTCTCCATCAACCTCAATAAATTATAGCGCACTCATTACCTCGGGACAGGTTATAATGCAAAATAAAATACAAGGTAATGGTATCAGATGGCTTTTTAAATGTCCTGAATTATGCACTTTGAGAATTTTTGTATCTGTATCTTTTTCTGGTGTTGCATTTTTCACCACCACGTGTGATGCACAAAAAAAGCTTTCAGGTGTTCAGTTCTGTAACAAAAGCTGTCTCTCATTAAAATAAGGTGAAGACACACAAGACTGACCACGCAAAACACACGAAGTGGATCTTTAAAAATGACTGCCTCTGTAAAGACCTCTCATATCTGCTTATTAACTCTTCCAACACTTTTCTTCCTTATTGCGCCCCCCCCCCCCC